ACAACCTGTCAAGTGAGAATTCTGTATTAATGTATTCTTCCGTATTTTTACTTTTTGATCCCAATATGGCGTCATTCTATGCAGGAATTGCCATTGATGATGTCGCAAGTGAATAAAGAACTTTCCACTACCTCCGGAGCATTGAAGCCCCGTCTCTGTTATTTATTTATTTTATGTGATCGCAGAAGTCTATAACACAAAAAATCACACAACGCAGTCACGTCCCGAAATCTGCGTCACACATGCAACATTTACAATGCATTATAATGCAAGCTATTGTCTAATATTATTGAAGTAGAGTGGGACTGTACAAGTCTAAAATCAACAAAAATCCTGTCAAATACCGGTACCATCTCTGATTTGGGGCATTATAAACCACAAAAACAAGACTTGCGTGAATTCTGGAATTCCAACAATCCAGCGGGATAGCTTAAGTTCGTCTTTACTTGAAGTGTTGATTATTCATTGGTGCAATAAATTCTGCCTGTGTTCTCTTAATTATATATACTAGTTATTTGTCTAAAGGAAGGCTGAGCGAAATTCAAATTTCGGACTACTGAGTAGGTTACTGCAACATATATTGTAATGCATCATGGGAGAGAACTTTCTGTTGTATTTAACAGAAACTCACTAAATACTGGTATCCTCGGGGGCGGAGCTACGTCACAGACGTTCTACGTTGCTAAGACGCGCACCACTGTACCACGTATTTTTATGGGCTTTGTGCGCGCTGCTGTGGAACGCCGGTGGAGCCGGGAAAACTCGAGAAAACAACACAAACTCAACTTTGAAGTAATCCTGAACAACCAAATTCATATATGTTACACACGTAGGGCTAATCTTGTTACACTGTTCAGGGCACTCTCAACAACCATCGCAAAGTACCATTTTCTGTGAGTTTTTGGTCTTTGTTTTCACCGCGAAGGTTGCCAGGCGGTAGAAAATGCCCGGATGGCCGCCCCCGAGGATACCTTCCCATAAATAGCGCCCTCTGGTGATGAATCGCTTCTATGACGTAAATAGGTGACCTGATAGCCGTTCAAGGCGCAGATGTCATTTTGATCTGTAGTCGTCAATCAATAAAGATTTTGTTTTTGAGAGATTTTACGATATTCTAGACGAACGACTACACATCCAAACACAGTTGTCGATTCGAATAACATCTCTTTCATCCATGCATGTTATTTTGATGTCACAGAGGCGCTCCGCTTCTATTCGACTTGAACATATAATTAAAACAATGTTTATTTAAATTGTATTCTAATTGACGCTGCTCAACGACTGACACTTCGGCATCTAAAAATTTACATTAATTGTTCACCGATGATTTTATAATAATTTTATTATATTTTAAAATTATTTATTTATTTAGATATTTTGGAGGAGTTACTTCTACGTTGTAACACTGATGATACAAGGTAAGATTTAATGATATTCAACATGGTGCACATTTGTTCTCAAATTAATTGTTATGTTTTAAACCATTTAGCCCCATCAGCTTAGAGAAACAACATAAGATTAAGGAAGAATAAACCCTTCTCAGGTTTCCAATTTATTGGCAGTGTCGCTTTAATTTATGATAACAGCGCCCTCTATGGTATCCAAAACTAGCAAGGTTTCCCTAAGATTTTAATCAGAGATTCAATCAGGATGCTTCTAAGAACTTAAACATTCGTGAACATTACACTTCCTAAACACATAGTTGCACGCAATACAAATCAAAATTACCTATCCTTCCAAAATACTCAGATGGGACAAAGTCAAAATTTGAAAAATACTGATCGACAAATTTGGTTGTGGTTTGTGTTTACAAATTATTCTTTGTGATGTTTTGAATTTAATCACGATTCGCTACTGAACTGCATTCATCAGTCAATAATTGTTGGATAACTTCCACTTGAATCGATCGTCCTCTTTTTCACAGCCATTCAACAAAACCTGAAACATCATCGTCAAGCTCCCAAGACGGTGCTAGTAGTGGAGAAGACAAGTTTGTTGAGTCTAAATTATTGTCCAATGCATCTAAAGCGGTTAAACTGACAAATCACGGAGAAAAAGGACGTTATATTCTGGTGAGTCAAGTCTGTGCATATTTGGTGAATTTCATGATTCTTGCACGTCTTTTTTTCGGGAGATTGGATTACCCAGAATTCATCTCAGTATTTAAGGGCTGTGGTCATTACATTGTGTTTGATGGGTCCCATGGAACGTGTACAACATATGTAAAATGCAGTACGTTTACATGAAATTGAAATATCGCTGTAAATGTTAAATGTTTTTTCCAGGCCACTGAAACCATATGTCGTGGTGAAATTATTATTAAAGAAAAGCCGTATGGTTGTGTGTTGTTGCCATCTCATTACAATACACGGTGTTACCACTGCGTACGAAAAACTGTTGCACCTATTCCGTAAGTATGTCTTCAACTATGATTAGAATTAATTATTTAACTCTCCTGGAGTTGATAATTATCCAACAATCTAACATAATGAACACTACCTGTGATATATCATTAGTTATTTACAATCTGCATGTAACAAGTGATTACGTAATTATTCTTGGGAAAGTAAGCAAATAACACCGAATAAACAGCATGGTAAATACTACGTCAAATCAAAGTAAACATGTACTGCATGCGTGACTCAAACCGGTGCTCACGTACGGCACCTAATCGTCTAGCTTCACATCACTACACATCTTCGGTACGCGAGTGCCGGTTCAAGTCATGCATGCAATACGTGTTTATTTTCATTTGACGTAGTATTTACCTTGCCGTTTATTCAGTGTTATTTACTTACTTTACTTTCGATGTCAACAGCAACTATGAGTTTATTCTTTGGAAAGTTTGATATGCACAAATGAACCATAAACATAAAATATGGAGGGCCCAATTTTGTTTTCATACCTACTGGGTATTTTATGGAAAAGAAAGAATAAAAGAAATGCATCGACACCATTTTATCGCAAAATTCAATTTATTTATTTATCTCAACAGTTGCTGTACATGTACTCATGTAAGATACTGCAGTGTAGAATGCCAACAAGAAAGTTGGAAATCGTATCATTATATAGAGTGCCCTCTATGGCCATTTCTGTCTCAGGTAAGGGTTATCCCCCCATTGCAGGCTGTGCATTTAAAAATTGATACATAATGATAGAAGTGAATTTTAGCTTTAAAGTTGCATTCTCAGATTGTAAGTTCTGCAGAATACTTGTCACTGAACCCTGTTGGTTTTATTAAGGGCTTTGGGCTTGTTATTTATTAGAAATCTGAAACAGGATCCTGAAATTGGATTTATAGAAGCTGTTTCAAAAATGAAGTAAAAAAATGGCTTTGAGTGACAATAACAATTAAGTTCACCACGACCTCTAGCCCAGGCTAGCTTCAGTGCTCAAATAAATTAGGATTTGTTACCATAGCAACTGATTTGATCATTTAAATTCTCATGGTCATAATAATCAGTAGATGTGTTCCACACATATGGTAAAAAAAAACAAAATGGGAATACAACTTTAACATCTTGTCAAAGCTGTTTTCATATACATCTTTTCCACAACAGCAATTTTGTGTACATAAATCATTGTGCAGCATATTCCTGGCGAGTCCTATGGATGGCAGTTACTGACTTTTCATGTCATCATGAATACTGTAAAACATGTTGAAAAAGCAACATACTATTTTAGCAAATTGTGGTAAAATGACGTAATAGCGGAATGTTGATTCAGCAAATCTCTGTTTTCACAATACTTCTGTCGCCTCACAGTCACTCTAGAGTGACTGTGGTAGAGTGACTGTGGTCGCCTGCCAAAACAAATACGCAGTTATCACCTCCATAAAAACAAAGAAAAACTGTCAAGTGTAATAAGGAAGCGCTCCAGATTATTACATTTTCTGTGTTTACAAAGTGTGTGTGTGGAGAAAAAGATGTTGTTTGGCCGCCATTTTGAATTTATAATGAAATTACTAGCAACGTTAGCGAATTAGCTCTCTCGCTAAATTCTAAAAAAAAAACTAGTTTTACAGTAAATTGTCAGGTTTAATGATTCAAAACAGCTTATAGCTTATATAATCAATTCGTGGTTTATTTTGATGTCTTGCAGGCTGGAAACTTTTCTCAATTGAGTCTTAGAATACTGCTGAAAGCAGGATGGAGTAATATTCAAAAATACTCAAAAGAAGTTTCCAATCCTGTGTCTAGTTCTCACATTCCTGGCTGTGACACAAGGGGGAATTATAAATCGGACTATAACAGTATTTATAGTCTCATTACTCATTCGGGTAAACAGCCTTGGAAAGATGTATTTTTTTTCACCTTGGTAAGTAGGCTTTCCCAGCATGCAACTTCATGTACTGAAAGTATCATAACCAATGTACTCTGACTCTAATAGTGTAGATTTCTTTATTTTTGCTTGGAATTTATTTTCGCTGTTTTCGCTGAAGGGATGATTCCATGAAAATAAAATCAAGCGAATATACTTTTTTTCCTGTATTTCACATACAACTCATCAAAAAGCAGTGAAAATAAATGCCATGCAAAATGCATTTCCAGGGAAAATTAATTCCAGCTAAAATAAAGTATTTCACAGTATATGGTGTACTGTAAAACACTTTATTTTAGTTAGAATTCGTTTTTACTGAAAAGACTTTTGGGGTTGTTTTGTATGGTGTTTATAATTGTCAGTAATTTTAGACAAGTTAAATGTAAGATTTACGTGAAAAATCTATATTCGCTGGATTTTATTTTCATGAATCATTCCTTCAACGAAAATAGCAAAATTAAATTTTACAGTAAAAGAGTCTGACAAGTGTTGGGGATCTGGACACTACAAACTTGTATAATTGCTATATTTAAATCAACTTTTATGTATTCCAAGAACTTAATATAATGGGTTATGCTTTAAAAATCAAAAATGAAAAGTCATATTTTTAGTGAATCATTTTTCGATTCATTTCTACTCTATATGCTACACCAAAAATTATGAAGCTTATATAATAAACAGGTCAGCTGACTGTATATTTGATTGAAAATGCAATTGGTGCTGCTTTCCACAAGCAAAGTGGGAATGAAACTTTAACATAAGCAGTTTCAATATCATACATTATTAAAAATTTCTCACATGTAGTAAATAAACCCAAATACGAGTATCGTAACAAGCAAAAGATCACATTCTAGGCTTTACGAGTACAGCCATCAGACTGGATTATTGTGGTCTGGGGAAAACTCATTATGTAAACAATATCGTATTACTGTAGAAGTGCATGTAAAACAAACAATTGTACAGAGGATCCTACAAATGCAACTAATTATGACCATGTGCACATATTGCTACTTACTAATAGAGCAAAGAAAAATATTTAACATTTCTAAAGTGAATAATGTTATTGATAAATTATTTATGGGTGGAAAACACAAATCATGTGCACACTTCCCAGATGTGTGAAGCATTATGGGTAATTGTGAGAGTGAACATATACTGAGTGTGTTTTTGTGTAATTTGCAGACGTCGATACTCCTATCAACGCTGGTAACGAAATTAATATCACCCTCTGATGACGTCGATGATTTGTTGGCAGATACTGAAGCAATGAAAATGACTGAAGCAGCGGAGGCTGAAAATAAATCTAATAGATCGCCTTCAGAGGATGAATCTCAAATAAATGGTAGCGCACCGAGCAGACATACTTTGGACGCTACTGATGCTGATCGTGATCGTAATACTTCCCAAGACAATACAACTGTATGCAGCAATGATAGTAACAAATTCCTTGCAGCTGAACAAAAACTGTCTCTCGGTGATGCAGAGAAGGCAGTAGCGAGTGTGTTGCTGCATCACTTGTTGCAGTTGCGATGCAATGTGCACGCTGTGACTGAAGTGGCCACTAAAACTGATTCCTCCACTAGCTTTGTGGCTACTACGCAACAGATAAGAATCGCTGTTGCTGTGTACGGCACCGCATCTATGTTGAACCATAGCTGTACTCCTAATGTTATCGCAGGGTGAGTTTTCTAAATACAGAAGATATTTGCCTCACTTGTGCTATTAAAAGATATTTATAATTAAAAGATATTACGATAAAAATCATATTTTGTTGAGTTGACAGAAAGTCAACTAATGCATTAGAAGCAAATCTCCAATTGCATTTGATGTATACTGAATCATTAAAATTTATTGCATATTTTGACCATAGAAACACATTCGTAATTTACTCAAATATGCTACTAATATAAAAATATGATATAATTGACACTCTTGTTTCAGTTACGATGGAAACCAGTTGACAATCCGAGCTACTGAAATGATAAAAAAAGGAGGCGAGGTCTTGCATTGCTATGGTAAGTCTAAATGTTCATATTAGTTGTTCCAGTAATCGAGAAAGTGTTCCCTAATCAATGTTGCATTGTTGGCAGGAATTATGTTTGATGACTTCGGCACGTCAAGCAAATAATGTGTGCAGTTACACGAGCTTTCAGCATCTTATGGCGTCAGCAGATCTCCGAATCACGCGCGTGAATCTTTGTTTAATAGTCAAAGATGGACCAGTTGCACAAAATCAAAATCTGTGATGAGGATAAGAATTGTTGAGATGAAAATCAGGTTCTCACGTTGTTCGTTGTAAAGCAAATAGCCACCTTCCCTTTTGAATTTATAAGACGAGTGTTTCAGCAGCATCCAAGCAAATTTTGAACACTACTTACTTCCTAAATTAATTTCATTGAGAATGCATCCAAGACAAAATTTAAAAAAGCAGTTCATGGCAAGATTAACAGATTGATAGATATTTTATTTGACATTTGTATGAATGAAAAAGAACATACAATAAATCAATGGTCAAGAAAAAAAATAGACTAACTAAAGCTTAGAAATAAAATGAATAAAAAAAAAAAATTCCGAAGCAATTGACAATAAAGCTATCTTTAGTGCCTAGCAAGCACTTAAATTTCTCAAGAGTTGCAAATGTTGTCATCATAAATTGCTAATTCAGCTTCAAATTTAGTACGCCTTGTACAATCTGACTATTTTTACATGCGAGTAATATATGAAATTCATCCCCAATAACCTGTTCATTGCATAGAGAACAATTTTAAAACCTTTGCTCTGGAGATCTTTTAATAAAGACAAGACATAAATCAGAAGGATAGGTTTTGATGAGTATAACTCACAAACGTTGTAACTTTCAGATTTGTTACTCAGTGTTGAAATTTAGCCAACAATACAACCTTAAGTTGTCTTAAGTCTTTTCCAAATCATTATCAATACATGCATTGGCTGCTTCTTTTCTATATGCAGGTCCACGCGTGTCCGACATGTTTCGAGATGAGAGACTGAAAGTGCTACGGGACCAGTATTACTTCACATGCAAATGCATGTTTTGCGGCATACCCCAGGAGGCCATAACCCCTTCAGGCGCTTTGCGTTGTCCACGGTGCAGCGATATGAGTGGCGTTTATCAAACCCCTGAAGTAACGGGACAGTGTTGTAATTTTGATTGTCATCATAGTTGGAAGCTTGGAGAAACTGATGAGGTAATATAACCACCTGTTGTGTAGCGATAGCTTTCCTGTAACCATTATGCATCTCTTATGAAACATTTATACTGTGTTAGATCAAGACAATATTACAGAAGGTTGACTACCTATAGATTCCTATGGTGACTCCGGTGAGGGAATCGTTCGCAAATGTGGACTTGTACCGGTACATGTTGATTCATCTCTGTGCATGCATCTGATCATGCTCACGCTTCACAGATACATCATACAGCAGGTCTTAATGCATTACTGTCATGATCCAATTCCAGATGGATGCATGGCGGCCATTTTAGCACTAAAAATTCAAGTCAAGCATTTCTTTCTTTTCAGGGCTAGATCTCAGTCAAACTTAAGCAGATTTGATTCAGACTTGCATTATATTTTGATTTGGCTGCATAACTGGTGGTCATTTTGTTTTAATACATGGTAATTGTTCCAGTGTTTTGCAAATCAGAATCAAAATTGCTAACTGGCTACCATTTTGTTTTGAATATTACAGTATAAATATTCCTGAGCCATGCCTCTAGCATGTTGCACTGATTATTTTCAAATTTCATATATACATTAGACATAAAACCAAGTTCCGATTCAAGATGGCTGCCACATAGCTGTTTCAGTAAAAAATTAACTGTGATCAAGCCCTTGTAGAAGCATAATTTCAGATATTCATGGTACCCTTTAAATCTGCGACATGTTTTGAACGATTGCTTTCGTCACATGTTTTCAATTGGAAATTTACATTCACATACAAGATGTTTGTCATTTGTAGATACCATGATATTTTGGAAATAATGAGATTTCTCAAATTCCACATTCATATTGTAGCTGTATGTTAATCAAACAAATTTTTTAAATGACTGCCATTCATAGTGACTGATACAAACAGTGCAAAGCCCTACTGCTTCTATTTATCAAAAAAAATTTGGTTTCTATTCTCGTTTTAAATATTACTTACAGACCATGTTACATGAAACAACTGAAAATTTCCATGAGCGTAGTATAGTAATACATACCATTTACCGGTAAATTGTGAATCGACTATGTAAAAAGGCAAAACATTCTACAAATGCAATACTGATCAACACCCTAAAATACACCGAGGCGTATCATCATGAATACGTCTCAGAATTTCGCAAATTCCTTAAGAGCGTAGCATAACTATCAGTAGTGCACAAAACTGATGAACTAAATGTAATTTTCTTGGAGCATTACAATTGTAAAATATGGAGTAAGTGCGGCCACACTATACAAAACTGTTATACATGCAGTAGCAATTCACTTTTGCATTTTTCACAAAGATTTCTTGTCTTGATTCCATTGGCATATGGCTTTTTGTTCCAAATCTAGAAATAATACGTTTTTCACGTGATGCTAATCTGGTGTTTACGATGTTGTATTAATTAAACCCCACTCTCGACAATGAACGCCGCTATCATACAGGTTTTTTAATAGGTCCTCTACCATTATCATTTTTCTGGAAAAACGATTACTTGAAAGTCAAGAATTAATTTAATTTTCAGCTGTTTTGTAGGGAGTTTAACCTGACCGATATTTTTATTTGAAAGTATACAGAGAAAAGGATTTTCGCTTACTTTTATTTTCACTAATTCATTCCATCAGTGAAAATAAAGTACTTTACAGTAATGACCTGATACTTAGAAACTTATTTGTATTTGAATACATGCTGGGGTTCTACAACTTTAATATTTGCTCTATTAGATGAGATTCTCAAATAGAAAGACACATAAACCCGAAAAAATGGATTTATTGTGTACTGGATCCATATAATTTTGACAATAAACACATCTCTGTCGACCTATGTGCATGAGATAATAATAGAGCAAGTATTGTTATATATATGCTAACGATTATTTGTCTTGAAACAAGAAATTGTTGCAAGGTATTTTATTTTAATTCAATTTACACTGTTATTTTTCACGCTAGAAAATTGAGAATGCCAGACAACTATTTCGTGTGGGAAAAACTTTGATTGGTGACAAAAACAAAGTGAAAGGTAAGAATATATGATGATGTAAGGCATGAAAATTTATGCGCATAATTCATTCATATTTTTTTTTTTTTTGTGAATCTTCATATTGTCACTAGAGAAATTAGACATCAGAAAATCCATTCATTTAGAAAGTGTCTGTGATTACAGAACAGCAAAAGAATAAAGTACAATATATTCAGGCTGTAAAAAAATTGTTGAAACTAATGCCGGATTAATATCAGAAATAAAATCATGTGCTCAGCATTAACCAATCACATACGTCATGTAGATCATGTGCTCAGCATTAACCAATCACACTTGTTGTGTAGATCATGGCTCAGCATTAACCAATCACACTTGTTGTGTAGATCATGTGCTCAGCATTAACCAATCTTACTTGTCATGTAGATCATGTGCTCAGCATTAACCAGTCACACTTGTTGTGTAGATCATGGCTCAGCATTAACCAATCACACTTGTTGTGCAGATCATGTGCTCAGCATTAACCAATCTTACTTGTCATGTAGATCATGTGCTCAGCATTAACCAATCACACTTGCTGTGTAGATCATGTGCTCAGCATTAACCAATCACACTTGTTGTGTAGATCATGGCTCAGCATTAACCAATCTTACTTGTCATGTAGATCATGTGCTCAGCATTAACCAATCACACTTGCTGTGTAGATCATTTGCTCAGCATTAACCAATCACACTTGTTGTGTAGATCATGGCTCAGCATTAACCAATCACACTTGTTGTGTAGATCATGTGCTCAGCATTAACCAATCTAACTTGTCATGTAGATCATGTGCTCAGCATTAACCAATCACACTTGCTGTGTAGATCATGTGCTCAGCATTAACCAATCACACTTGTTGTGTAGATCATGGCTCAGCATTAACCAATCACATTTAATGTGTACAGCAAAAATTCAGGATTAACAAATCCAACTTCAAATGAAGCTTGGGTGATCGATCTAATTTTAAGATCATTGTATTCACATTTATAGAGTGTCTGTCAACTCTTCACAAAGCCTATAAAATACAGCAGTCGGTGCTTTACAAACACAACAAAGAATTGGCAGAAACAGAAGACTGTCTAGCGCTATGTTATGCTTCATTTGGTAAGTTTGGTATCCACCCATTCGCAGCACATGCCGAAATCGTGTGATATTTTCAGAATGTCATTGTACGCAATGTATATAATAATTGTTTTTATAGGTAATTATCATTATGCTGCCAAGTATCTGAAACTGAGTATAAAAAGCAATATTATCTTGTATGGCGAAGACAGTATTGAAATTGGACATGAATTATATAAGTTGGCACAAATTCTCTTTAATTGGTAAGTAAATTGGCATGTGTACTTTGAGTTTACTGTGTGTGTGTGTCAACGTTTGTGGTGTCAACCAAGTGACGACAGACCTACCAAGTGACAACCTTCAATATTTTCATAATTTATATTTAATTTAATATTTAATCAAATTTATACCTACCCCCTTTATTACTCCTAACAAGATATTCAACTTTTATTAATTAAACTAATTAATTATTAATTAAACTTGAATTAAAACGCAATTCTATGTTGAATTGCATTGTAATTGAGTTTAGGCAAACCTATATAGAAACACGTTTTAATCGAGTTCATATTGCAAATTTTATCCAATGTATGTCATCACAACGATCGTAAGACGTGTATGTGCATCAGTTACTCCCATTAGACATGAACCATTCCTCAGATTTGATTCAGTACATGATATTGCTTGATTTAACTAAAGATCTACTTTTGCATTATTGCACACCTTGGCAAATAATTAGTTCTTATTTTATCTGTACAGTAAAAATGTGACAGAGGGCCTCGGTGTTATCGACAAAGCCGTGAAGATAATATCTGATCACTATGGTGAAAACCACTCTGATGTCAAGGAACTGCTACAAATGAAGGCTGTGCTAAAAGACTATAAAGATCAGTAGATTGGTAAAATTTCAATCCTGCAATGTTTTTTTAGTATGTAAACCATTGTCATACTAATAGTACTTTCTTAATAATGTTTTACCAAATTACCTGTAATTCAATAAAAGAGAAAAATTACGAATATGTTATATATATATATATATATTATGTTATGTATAATCTTAGCAAAGAAGTCCCTGAAAATAAGTTTAATACAAAGGGAAGTTGGTCGCAGATGGCTCTAGACTCAGCAACAGTAGCAAAAGGGGTGTAAAACGCAGAAAACATTACCGGTAACTATAACAACCTGTATATCATCTGAAAGTTAAGATATAGGCGAATATGGTAGTGCATAAGCTGTACCGCGATTTCCAGTTGCGCGATTGACCTGTGAATTGCATCAGATTCTGGTAACGCTTTGGTTGGTATTTCATCAGAAACCCAAAAAGAATCGTCTCCTTCACCGGGTTTCCAGGTGGACAGTTCCCTAACCAGCAACTAGGATAGGTAATTTATTGGTAATTTGAGGAAACACAAATGAATGAGTATCCATCGCTAGGTCAACACATGTCTCCAGGCGATCTCCAATGAACATTCTAGGTAATAATTGGCACAGGCAATTCATTTAATATATCTGTAAAGAGACATCTATCATTGCTATTTAGTTAAACAGCAGTTTTGAATTCGAATTGTTCTAAATAAAACATGTGTATTGTAGACAGTCAAATTTAATACGATAATCGTGCATGTTGTCTATGTTTACAGAAATTACAATTCAAATTTTGTCAAACTCTTTGCCGTGTCTCACACTGGCATGTATGTATGATCATAGAAAAAAAGCGTACAACAGAGTTTGTAGAATAATTTGAGTTTCTAACGGTTCAGTGGTCAGGCACTGGGAACTATTTCAGATCGAAAAATCGAATACATTTGGTAGTCACTTTATCATGCGCTTTCGATAATTGTTAATAATTCAAATAATTCTCCGTAGTCAGTATCACTAAACTTGCATTTTAGGAGAATATAACACGTTTGGGCAAAAATGGAAAAAAATAGTATTGATATGAATATCAAATGGGAGAATATGATCACGTTTACTATATATATCGTGGACGGGTTACGTTGTGCGACGGAAAAATCGTTGTATATTTCCGTTTTATTCCCATTTTTTCAATACCATTTTACGTAGTCCTATTATTGGTTGGTGTTTGTTTCTTTGACCTTAGAAAGAATATTTGTGGAATGCGTTCTTTGGTGTTCGTAGTGTCCAACATCAATAAACTGTGTTGTAATAATATAGAGTTTATAATGCTTGATGAAACGGATGACTTTTCAATCAGGATTTGAATGTGTTAACATTTGGGGCTGTACGAATGTCATTTGATAGATGATTCCATAGTGAAGAAGATGAATGTGAGAATGATCGTTCACCATATGGTTCAAGTCTGGTTGCTGGTACTTTGAGTAATTGCCAGTTGCTAGAGCGAAGAATTCTACAAGGATTACTTTGCTGATTCAGATTCGAAATGTATGGTGGAGCCAACTGATGTAGGGCTTTGTAAGTAATGAGGAGTATTTTGAATTGGATTCTGTAAGTGACTGGAAGCCAGTGCAAATGTTGGTTTTATATGATCAAACTTTTTTGTGCTATTCTGGGCTCTTTGCAACAGATTTAGTTGTGCAGTTGGTAAGCCATATAGCAGGGCATTGCAGTGGTCCAGTTTAGCGACAAGAGTTGAATGAATCAGCTTGAGGCAAGTTTCTGTAGAAAAGTACTGTCGAATTTGTCCTATACATCTAATGTTGAAGTAAATACTTCGGCAAGTGTTGATAATATGTTTTTTGAATTGAAGAGTATTATCAGAGGCGCCGGCATGAAATTTTGCACGAGGGGGCGAAATCTGCTGACCAACCTCGCACCGAAGCGCGACCTTTATTTTGAAATCTAGACCCTCTGAAACGCTATTTCCTGCATTTTAATAGGCAAATTTTGCTGACACAAAGGGTTCCAGTTTATAAATCCAAGGTTGCGTGCAGCTGTGACTGGACCAATAACTGTAGAATTAACATGGATACTGCTGACAGGGCTAGGAGTATGGTCAAATTTGGATCGAATGAGCAAAACTTTTGTTTTTCCATTGTTGAGTGTCATCCACTTCTTGATGTCATGTAGACAATGTTCCATTTGTGTAACTGCATTTGAAGTGTTGGCTCTGGTGAATGCTAAATACAGTTGATTATCATCGGCATATTGGTGAAATTCAAGATTATGTTGACGAATGATTTGAACGAGTGGAGCAATATATAGTGAGAATAATAGTGGTCCGAGTACTGACCCTTGGGTACGCCACAGTGAAGAAGAGTTTAGGATAAGTAGAGCCCATTTATGGTCACCGTGATAGATTGATGTCTGTCTATTACATATGAAGATAGCCATTGCAGGGCAAGATCATGTATGCCCAAAGGGGATAGACGACCAAGAAGAATAGCGTGGTCCATAGTGTCAAAAGCGGCTGATAAATCTAACAGAACGAGGATGACATATTTTCCTGCATCAAGTGAGGTTAACATGTCATTGTGAACTTTGAGGAGTGCCGTTTCTGTGTTGTGGAACTGTCTATAAGCGGACTGTAGTGGTTCGAAAGATATGCATTGAGTCTTAGGTCTATAACATTTTAAAGTACTTTTGAGATGGGTACTGTTGTCGGTACGATAGGTATTGCAACATAGAGGAAATTAACAGTTATGTTCGTCACGATATATAACAATGTGTTATGTTTATTTCGCCATGAAAAGCAGAACTTAAATGATTTGTGTTTTCTCTATTGTTACAATTGTTAAGTGAAACTGTATTTGCTCTTTGGGCCAATGGCCTTTTGCTTTGTGATAAATAAATAAATATACTAAAATAAAAAAAAAATATACTAATGTGAATAATACTGTCAGAAATGGCTAAGACCGGGTTATCTAACAAATAATATATCTAAGACGACTGAGAATGATCGAATTCGAGCCCCAAGCTTAGTCAACATTCTACCAAATCTTGACGAATTATTAAAATTTTAATCTAAATGAAATATTCGTGGTTGAGTTCACCGGAAGCGATCGTTCCATGCTTCGATCAGTTGTCGATAATATGTCACATAGTATTTTCATCGCTATCTATAGTTATATTTCCGTATGTGGGGCGAATGACTGGATACGAAATATCTGATATTCGTGCGACATCAAAAGCTTTCACTAATATTGTGAAACTTCAAGAGGCCGGTCAGTTTAGTTTACCAAAGTGGGTTGGACCAAGTCATGGGGTTAAAACAAATCTTATTGTCAAGTGGCCTATCGACGGCGTGATCGTGGGAAGAAACAAGCCGAGAATCATTTGTACACCGGGTTCTCAGTTTTATAAAGTAATTTAACAAAGGTCAAGTTTGGTGAAAAAAATCAGAAGGCAGTTCACAAAAAGTCTACAATCAGTCATTTTCCCCACCTACAGGATTTCAAAAAGTACGACCACAAATATTTCGTATTTCCTGTCCCGTAGTTTGGAAAAATACCCGGGAATAATTATAGCGTGAGCCGGCGGTGACGTTTTCGCATTCATGTGAATACATTTACCACCGTTCACGCTCATAGAATAGTTCGTTGAAGAATTGTTGTTGTATATTTTGAATATTAGATTTGCAATGCATTGTATTTCATTAGAATAATCTGAATAATATTTGTGCACGGCGTGCAGTTGTTGTATGCCATAGAGGGCGCTTATAATATCTATGTTATCAGCGACAACATGTTGCTTCGTTCGATTGCACTCTTTCCTTCGGACCCCATGGTTGGCAGCAGTATTATCATTTTCACAAACGCCCATGAGTATTATTAGTGGATATGGATATGGTCATTATGACGTGACTTATCCAAGAATTATCATGACTCGTGTCCCCGGGGGTCACTCTATATGCTGTTACTACCCCATGTGCGTTCCAAATTTAGCAGGAAAGGGGGGTGTTTTTCACCTTCTAAAGCAGGCCAAATTTGTCCGGATTGTGACGATTTCGTTTTAGAAGCAGGCAGTATTAAATGTGCCTATACTGTGGACGTGTGCCAGGGAAGCATAAAGAACACAGCGGGGGATTTGGATGAAGAATTGGAAGGCACTCGATGATTAAAACGAAGACGGACATTGGTTGTCTTTGAATCAAATTGATGGCCCCAATTTACCAAAATAACCATGTTATATATTCGCATCACATCTGATCATCAGATGGGATTGGTTTTGCTTCCATGAAATATTCTTGTATAGGGATGGTACCCGCCCGTTTCTCAAAAAAGCCAAAAGCAACAATTCGGCTTTGGTAGTTTGTTATTATACGACTCACCTTTATTGTGTCTATGATTTTTGACATACTGTAGGCCTAATCCTGGGACTGTAATGGCCATAAAACCCCAGGCTGAAATCCCAGGATGATATTCACTGTTTAAGGCCCGTTATGGACCATGAAGTACGGAGCAATTCCGTCATAAAGGGTGACATTGGCCATGTATCAGTTAATAACAATCCTACAACAAAAGAATATCTTTTTTCACTTAGTTGTGTCGTCAATGAAGGCCAGGATTATAAATACAATGGCCTTCCTACATTTGAGGGGTTAATTTAAAAAATCTTGGTAGAAGCATAACTACCCCTAAAGTTCCTGAGTGAGGGGCCGGGTCTTTCAGCTCCTGCTTTCTTAAGTTTAGTTTTCTGGGTTTTCTGCCCTTCATTCATGCCAAAGTCACTCGGAGCTGAACATAAAATTGCGTTCTGGTATCTGATGGAATAAGAATCCTGGCAAAGTTGTGTGCATTGTGTATTAAACTATCAAATTAATATTCATATACACAATCATGTCAATAGTTCTCATCTTTCTTCATCAAACAACGAATGACACCAACATAAGTTGTATACACAGCAACCACAAGTAGCTTGTTTGAGTTGATCACACTCCACTTGAGTGCAAACAACGGCAGAGAATGCTCTCAATAGGGTTAGGATGTTCTCAATATATGTCTGCTTTAGGGGGGGTACTGAATTTACATTGCGTCTGCAATAGGGGGTTGGTTTGTCAATGTGCTGCCAGCCCTAGGGGCCTATTATTTTTTTAGCAAGAATACACAAGGTGTAAGGTTTTAATATAAAGTGACCCCCGGGCTCATGTCAACCCCCACCCCACATTTCACCGACCCCATAGCCTGACGCTTAAAGCTTGTCGTGTGTACATTTGGCTGACGTTTTTTCTAGTGTTTCTGCCGTTTTCTGAGCATATATATATATATTGACAGGTTAAGTCAACAAATCAGCTTTTGAAATCTATGTATTTAAAACCCCACAAATTATGAATACATCATACATATGTGAGGAATAGAGGTAGAGATTCCCACCCCCTTTCAAACTTTGAAAAACTCATTTCTATATTATTGTTGGTTAGATTTTTATTCTGAAATAGATCAGATTCAGTGTTTCATCCACATGCAAAATACATCACCAGATATAAACGGGACGCACCACCAAAAAAAATGCATATCGCTACTGCACAGCGCCCTCTGTTGATGTATCGATCGAACTTGCATACTTTGTGCGCCCGATGCCCCACAAACATCTGTTAAGATGGACAATTCACAAGTGCAAACAGACTTTATGAAACATTATCATTACAGTGTGTTCCCATTATTCTGCGATATTATAAACCGTTAAGTTTTTTTTTAGAATGTTCAGTATAGGAATTAAGCATAAATATTATTTTGTCACATTGTGATTTCATGATGAATGCATGTGCGTTTGTATGACGTTATTCCGAGGTAACGAGTAATTTTGAAATTTAAAAGTTTCTACTTCCATTACACCAGTATTCGTATTGCCAAGTTGTCGTACGAATCTAATATATAAATCTTAAACAATACATTGTTCACATAACTTCCGTCATATCTGCTCAATATCTGAACGAAAATTACGAAATTGTCAAAACATGATCCATATTTTCGGGTTATCTTTTTCTTTGATTGGACTATTACCGTGTTCGTGCACAGACTCCGAATTAGCTGCGCCCCTATGATTGAATTTAGGTTATTCGTTCGTTTATCGGTAGTTTATGGATGCACGAAGCGTTTACGGGCGTGGTGGAGCGCCCGCATTTTCAAATAACACCTATCCAAATTTGAGAATTGATCTTCATTTGACGAAACGCACACCGCTCACATAGAGACGTCAATCAGCTCAAACATGACAATAGTTCCAATGCCCGACCACGCCCTCTGGCATTCCAACGAGACTACTTTTGTTCGGCAGTTTAATTCTTAAAACTCACTCCCTTTCAAAGCTCTAGTTATATTCTTTTTTAATATACAAGGCAGTTTATTGACGTTGTACAGTTTCAATAATTTGCCTAAATATAGACAAATACACTGTTTCACTAAATTCCATATATGTAGACGTAACCCCAATTCTGTATTTCAGTTACCGATTTCGTTTTAGAGGGGGGATGGTCAACAAATTCAATGCTCTACTGGTCTTACCTGAAAACAAAATGGCGCCCGGTTTGCGTACGGAGTTTTCTTTTTGTGATTTTGGTTCGCGTTTTTAAACCCACTTACATGAATTTAGATGTTGGATTATCACCTGCCGTTCATGGAAGCCATCGACGATAACCGTTATGGATAAACCGGGGGACAAGGACCGAGATAAGGTGGGTAAAACGTTGCGATTTCAGTGTAGGAAGTTTCCAATGTTACGGAGTACGGAGACTTTTTCGGTGATCTGTTTACTATATAACACTGCCAAAGACAAACACTGTGTTTTCTCGCCCGTGCCAGTCAATATACACAATGTTATGGGTGTACACTTATGTAGCTACTATCGCAGATAGGTAAGCTGGTCTAATCCCATCACAATCTCACAAACCTTTCCTTAATAGTTCACTTCTTGTCTGTGTGCATTTGCACTAACAAAACGGGACGACGCAATTTGCCCACTGAACACATCGTGGGGTTTATGTACTTTTTATTGGAACATCGTGGACGCTAACTAAACCGCGATTTGTTTTTCATTGCGTCTTTAGAATCGCCCTTTTTCTTCCACGTCGATGATCACAACGCCAAGGTCGCACCTGTGAGGAAAAACGCGATCATACAACGATCTACTATAGCGCTAAGCTCTTTTCCATGGGTGTCTTTGAGGACACGGAGTTTTGCCTCCAGGGGGTTTATTTGGGTGCACCATTGACATGAAAAGAGCTTACAGAGTCAGTGGCGTGGAAAAGAATAGACGTGTTTGGGTGCGTTTGGTGAGGTATAGGCCACTAATAACGGCCAAAGATAAACAAAACGTCAAACGATGATTTAAAATTGTACTTGAGGTAGTGTGAAGTAGCACACGAAGAGACATTCCGAAATATGGGAATTCGAACCTGAATAGCGTTGCGTGTCGGTGACCTCGGAGTTGTATTCATCAGGTGTCGACTTATTCTACGGACTGTCATCTATTTCTAATGATGTACGGGGGACAGTACTTTACCCTAACCCTGTCTCCCTCAATCATGCAGTGATTGAACCTCAACGGGTCTTCATTCTTTGATTGTTCGGACTCTATCATTCACGGATTCCTTTTCAGTAGTGTTGTGATCTGACATCAACCTGTCTTGTGGGCAAGACAATCTGTCAGTGTCATAGTGGCTTCAGTTTCATGGTGTCACTTTCAGTCCTATCCCATTTTCAGATTCATGTGTGCCGGTTCTGAGTGCTCCAGATCTGGTCAATTGGCACATGGAACTATATGGAACTACATGGTTTATAGTTCCATGGTTGGCATTACAAAACTCAAAAACAATGGTTCTGGTTGTTGTTCAAGGAAGTGTACACAATAGTGATGATACAGCTTTAATTAAATAGATTAAATCTGTCACTTTGCTCTGATGCTGGCTGATTGACTTTAATATTATTTAAAGTACTGTGCTTGTCCTAGTTTTGAGACTTACAAAACTGCAAGATAAATCAAGAGAAGAAGCGAAGGCTGCAGCTACCCCAATACACTCAGTATTTATTGTACTGTTAAGTGTTGGCTATTTGAAATTCAGGGTGTAAATTTCCGAGAAAAACAAATCTGTGCAGAAAAAATAAATCCTACAGAGGGGGAAAATAACGCAATATATTTATAAAAATTTTATAGAGAAAAGCAAAAAAAAAAATGTTTACAGCATCGTTGTCTTGAAAAAAAAATACTAAGTATCTACCATTATTAAGTAGATTTCCAAAAAGTCTCTTGAAAATCAAAGCTCTATAACTTTCCTCTGAATATTACGAGAAGGAAAAGAAATTTTAGTTTTCGAGATTGAAGAAAGCAATGTCCTTCACTATAGTTGCTGTAGTGTATTACAGTAACCAGTTTTGTAAAAGTTTCTATTATTTAAAGGTGGGTGTGAATTACTGAGAAACATTTTGTAACGTCTCTCGGATTGCATAAGCATTTTCGTATTCGGAGTGCTGTTAAGAAAATAAACAAGAAAATATATTCTTATATATTGTGGGTGTGAGAAGCTGAATATAGAGTTAACAGGTAATACCTATGACTCCCATTTTACTGATATCATCTTGGTGTAGCAGTGTTTTTAATTTATCTACAGAAACTTACCGTATTTGGTTTATTAGCGCCTATGCTGATGTAAATTACAGAGATTTTTCTCTGGTCATAATAAATAATATTTTAATGATTTAGTATATATGTACAGTCAATGCAATTATTGGCTTATGTGTACTTCTATTTGAGGTGCACTTCTAATAGAGTAAATATGGTACATATCTACACTGTCCATGTAATAATAAGTATTTATAGCAACCAGTCTGATTGTGACACTGTGTGTGCTACTGGGTAGTACGTGACTCTTGAAATAAAATGTAGCAAAAATACTACAAGGATATGTCAAAGTACAGTATACATGTATGCACGTTGACAGTACATTACTGTACCAACTGACATATGTGTATTTGACAATATTCTCGTAACAAAAATACCTCACTGTATTCATTATTATATGTTCAATTGTTTTTAAGCCCCAAGACTGGTAATTTGGGAAAAATTACTGAAGGTTTTAGCTTGATCAACTTCCTTTTGAAACTCGCCAGCCAACTTTGAAATGTCACTTTTAATCATTCCTTATTTGGCATTCACATTTCCTAATAAGGTACAAATGCAGATCCCCTTGTTCGATATCACAGATTTACATCACACTTCAACAATATTGAAATATATTAGTTAAAATACAAACACATAGCTGTATTTTTAATTTGAAAGAATACTTTGATACATGTAGCTCAAAAAATAAATTGTATACAAACCAGGTCTACAGATAAATCTGCTAAATTTGCTCGATTACAGCATTTTATGGTATTCTTGAAGACAACATTTTACGAAAATAACTGACACCCAGACCCGGTGTCCTAAGAAACCCAGAGACATTTTCACTGCTACAAAATTTCATGATTTCCGCTGACCTGTGAAATTCATGAAAATTGTTTTTTCTGAAATATCGGTGGTTACACAAGGTTCCTTGGCTTTGCTAGAAATTTATAAATACTGTGTAACAATGTTTTTTACATTTTGTCTCCAAAATGATCAAATATCCAACTGAAACTTTATCTACACACATTAAACAATGAAAGTTACTGTGTTTATGTGGATATTTAGTCCTACTTGTATCAAGCCAATGCAAAAAAAAACAAAAACAGTTAATGAGTAAACCAATATTATTACCTTGGACCACCAACTTTTCAGAAAGTTATCCCAGGTTGGCTTCCAAGAAAAAAAATTTGTGGTTGCTGGAGAACAATAATTACATTTGTTTCACATTTGTCTGTTTCAATTAATGTTGGAAATTCTAACCCCATCTGATCATGATAGAATTTCCATAAATATTTTAATCAATAATGGTGACTGATTCCAAGCTGTATGTGATATTTTCGCATTCCAAATGAAATGAAATTCTTCACACAGGTGACACCCATACAAACGCCCACACACGCTCACACCAAAAAAATAATTTCTAGTTGCCTTGGATACTCTGAGATTTTGTAATTGTTATTATACTTGTAATGTACAGTATATCATATTTAGATTGTTAATTACTGTGTGTGGCGTGGTATAAATGAGAATTTTGATTGAGAAACCAAAAAATCAATTCTTATACATGTGGTTTCGAGAGAAAAAATTCCGGGCGAAATTGACATGAACTTGTACACATGTATGTACTTATAAATTGTCGCCAAATATACGTTCACGATTTGATGATGTAAGGAGGGTGTTTGCAAGAACAATGTTTTGTCAAATCTCTCTGGCTCGCTGTCTTTAAGAACCCCCGGTTACATGTTCACCATGACAAATTTTGCTCTCAACTAAACTGAAATGTTTAATCAGTATTCCGGCATTGCTTCCAGCATTTTTGTCACATCTTGATTGTCCCAGGGGGCGTCAGTTCAACAGTTCACCTTTTAACAAGAAACAAACCCCGCTGACTTTCCATTTTTGAGGCAATAATTACCCTCAAAAGAGCCATATCTGCTTTGTGCGGCATTGATATAAAAGGTCACCAGAGGTCATAATGGCCTCCCATCATGCCCTTGTTCAATGTGTCTCGCTATACCTTTGTGTACGCAAAATAATTATTTTTTCTGTGTTTGTAAAAAGAGGCGTTGTACACTTCTTATCTGAAAGAAGAGGAGATTTTATGGCTGAATATTGGTCGTTTGTTTGATTGAGTTGTGTTCACTGTTGTGATATTGGTGATTGTGGAGTGTCCGTTTCCGTTTAAGTGTAGTTGTTTTCACAGGACATTCGTCCTGATGAGGTTGTTTTACATATATTTGTATCATTTCCTGTTTTTGAACCATATACTCAAAAGTCATGATTGAATTTCTTTGTTTGATAATGATTTCACCTTTTGGACACGCTTTGGTTGCAGTGTAACAAAATCTCTCGTATAATAGATTGAGTGGTTTTTACCTTTGCGACTTTAAACATAACTTTGCCTTATTCAACAAAAGACCTAAGCTAAACCATGGAACATTTTCTCAATTGGCTACACCCTCATTTTTGTTTTGATTGTTTTACTTTCAAAAATTCAAATGGAGAATAAATTAAACTCCCCGCCTACATGTAACACCTTCTGTGTGCTTCCGCTAACGTATCTGTTAAATTTACCCGGTTGTCCACTCAGCAATACACTGATGTTACTGTGAATACATATCTCCCAGTCATTTGATATAAATTAAGACAGTAATGCGTCCAGTTGAGGTACCTATTGTGTACTTTTCCTCCCTAAGGGGGTCGGGTGAACATGTACAAATATCGACGCCGACATAAAATTTACACCTCTGTTTATCAAAGGTGTGAAAATAAAGTGCTTTTTAAGGCGACTGTAGAATATCTAACCTCTCGGCGATGTACGTGTACTATGCTTGGTTCATCCTATATATGAAGCACAGAGACAACGACAGCATTGTCCAGTTTTTTTTTTTTTTTTAGCATGGCCACTATATTCAGTCTCACATACTGTAGTATCGGTCCAATTAGTAGTATTTTGTACATATACAGTACGTATATCACTCTTTTACTTCATAAACCGAATCGGGGGATTTTCAAAAAAAAAGACATGCTCAAAATTATGTTTGTTTTTATTAAGGTGTTTTAAAATTGTTG